AACCGTATCAACATCTGTCCACGGTGAACGGAAAAAATCAGCAGGTGCCACGACCACTGAGAAGAGTGAAGTATCAGCTGACGTGTCGGGTGAATCAATAATCCATAAGGAAAACGAAAAACACGTCTCCAATGAAGGCAAACCACACGGCTTCCACATCGGTTTGGGCCACGGTGGTTTGAACATTGGTGTAGGAGACAAGAAGATCGGATTGGGTTTGTCCGGCATTAAAGTTGGTAAAGAAACCGAGCAAGAAAAAGAAGACGAATTTATAGAAGTAGACAAGGCTGGCGTCAAGATCAAAAAACCGCATCATCACGGGAAAACTGAAGAAGAAATCACTTCCGAAGTCTCAACCGTATCAACATCTGTCCACGGTGAACGGAAAAAATCAGCAGGTGCCACGACCACTGAGAAGAGTGAAGTATCAGCTGACGTGTCGGGTGAATCAATAATCCATAAGGAAAACGAAAAACACGTCTCCAATGAAGGCAAACCACACGGCTTCCACATCGGTTTGGGCCACGGTGGTTTGAACATTGGTGTAGGAGACAAGAAGATCGGATTGGGTTTGTCCGGCATTAAAGTTGGTAAAGAAACCGAGCAAGCAGAAGAAGACGAATTTATAGAAGTAGACAAGGCTGGCGTCAAGATCAAAAAACCGCATCATCACGGGAAAACTGAAGAAGAAATCACTTCCGAAGTCTCAACCGTATCAACATCTGTCCACGGTGAACGGAAAAAATCAGCAGGTGCCACGACCACTGAGAAGAGTGAAGTATCAGCTGACGTGTCGGGTGAATCAATAATCCATAAGGAAAACGAAAAACACGTCTCCAATGAAGGCAAACCACACGGCTTCCACATCGGTTTGGGCCACGGTGGTTTGAACATTGGTGTAGGAGACAAGAAGATCGGATTGGGTTTGTCCGGCATTAAAGTTGGTAAAGAAGCAGAGCAAGCAGAAGAAGACGAATTTATAGAAGTAGACAAGGCTGGCGTCAAGATCAAAAAACCGCATCATCACGGGAAAACTGAAGAAGAAATCACTTCCGAAGTCTCAACCGTATCAACATCTGTCCACGGTGAACGGAAAAAATCAGCAGGTGCCACGACCACTGAGAAGAGTGAAGTATCAGCTGACGTGTCGGGTGAATCAATAATCCATAAGGAAAACGAAAAACACGTCTCCAATGAAGGCAAACCACACGGCTTCCACATCGGTTTGGGCCACGGTGGTTTGAACATTGGTGTAGGAGACAAGAAGATCGGATTGGGTTTGTCCGGCATTAAAGTTGGTAAAGAAGCAGAGCAAGCAGAAGAAGACGAATTTTTAGGATTAGACAAGGCTGGCGTCAAGATCAAAAAACCGCATCATCACGGGAAAACTGAAGAAGAAATCACTTCCGAAGTCTCAACCGTATCAACATCTGTCCACGGTGAACGGAAAAAATCAGCAGGTGCCACGACCACTGAGAAGAGTGAAGTATCAGCTGACGTGTCGGGTGAATCAATAATCCATAAGGAAAACGAAAAACACGTCTCCAATGAAGGCAAACCACACGGCTTCCACATCGGTTTGGGCCACGGTGGTTTGAACATTGGTGTAGGAGACAAGAAGATCGGATTGGGTTTGTCCGGCATTAAAGTTGGTAAAGAAGCAGAGCAAGAAAAAGAAGACGAATTTATAGAAGTAGACAAGGCTGGCGTCAAGATCAAAAAACCGCATCATCACGGGAAAACTGAAGAAGAAATCACTTCCGAAGTCTCAACCGTATCAACATCTGTCCACGGTGAACGGAAAAAATCAGCAGGTGCCACGACCACTGAGAAGAGTGAAGTATCAGCTGACGTGTCGGGTGAATCAATAATCCATAAGGAAAACGAAAAACACGTCTCCAATGAAGGCAAACCACACGGCTTCCACATCGGTTTGGGCCACGGTGGTTTGAACATTGGTGTAGGAGACAAGAAGATCGGATTGGGTTTGTCCGGCATTAAAGTTGGTAAAGAAGCAGAGCAAGCAGAAGAAGACGAATTTTTAGAAGTAGACAAGGCTGGCGTCAAGATCAAAAAACCGCATCATCACGGGAAAACTGAAGAAGAAATCACTTCCGAAGTCTCAACCGTATCAACATCTGTCCACGGTGAACGGAAAAAATCAGCAGGTGCCACGACCACTGAGAAGAGTGAAGTATCAGCTGACGTGTCGGGTGAATCAATAATCCATAAGGAAAACGAAAAACACGTCTCCAATGAAGGCAAACCACACGGCTTCCACATCGGTTTGGGCCACGGTGGTTTGAACATTGGTGTAGGAGACAAGAAGATCGGATTGGGTTTGTCCGGCATTAAAGTTGGTAAAGAAGCAGAGCAAGCAGAAGAAGACGAATTTATAGAAGTAGACAAGGCTGGCGTCAAGATCAAAAAACCGCATCATCACGGGAAAACTGAAGAAGAAATCACTTCCGAAGTCTCAACCGTATCAACATCTGTCCACGGTGAACGGAAAAAATCAGCAGGTGCCACGACCACTGAGAAGAGTGAAGTATCAGCTGACGTGTCGGGTGAATCAATAATCCATAAGGAAAACGAAAAACACGTCTCCAATGAAGGCAAACCACACGGCTTCCACATCGGTTTGGGCCACGGTGGTTTGAACATTGGTGTAGGAGACAAGAAGATCGGATTGGGTTTGTCCGGCATTAAAGTTGGTAAAGAAGCAGAGCAAGCAGAAGAAGACGAATTTATAGAAGTAGACAAGGCTGGCGTCAAGATCAAAAAACCGCATCATCACGGGAAAACTGAAGAAGAAATCACTTCCGAAGTCTCAACCGTATCAACATCTGTCCACGGTGAACGGAAAAAATCAGCAGGTGCCACGACCACTGAGAAGAGTGAAGTATCAGCTGACGTGTCGGGTGAATCAATAATCCATAAGGAAAACGAAAAACACGTCTCCAATGAAGGCAAACCACACGGCTTCCACATCGGTTTGGGCCACGGTGGTTTGAACATTGGTGTAGGAGACAAGAAGATCGGATTGGGTTTGTCCGGCATTAAAGTTGGTAAAGAAGCAGAGCAAGCAAAAGAAGACGAATTTATAGAAGTAGACAAGGCTGGCGTCAAGATCAAAAAACCGCATCATCACGGGAAAACTGAAGAAGAAATCACTTCCGAAGTCTCAACCGTATCAACATCTGTCCACGGTGAACGGAAAAAATCAGCAGGTGCCACGACCACTGAGAAGAGTGAAGTATCAGCTGACGTGTCGGGTGAATCAATAATCCATAAGGAAAACGAAAAACACGTCTCCAATGAAGGCAAACCACACGGCTTCCACATCGGTTTGGGCCACGGTGGTTTGAACATTGGTGTAGGAGACAAGAAGATCGGATTGGGTTTGTCCGGCATTAAAGTTGGTAAAGAAACCGAGCAAGAAAAAGAAGACGAATTTATAGAAGTAGACAAGGCTGGCGTCAAGATCAAAAAACCGCATCATCACGGGAAAACTGAAGAAGAAATCACTTCCGAAGTCTCAACCGTATCAACATCTGTCCACGGTGAACGGAAAAAATCAGCAGGTGCCACGACCACTGAGAAGAGTGAAGTATCAGCTGACGTGTCGGGTGAATCAATAATCCATAAGGAAAACGAAAAACACGTCTCCAATGAAGGCAAACCACACGGCTTCCACATCGGTTTGGGCCACGGTGGTTTGAACATTGGTGTAGGAGACAAGAAGATCGGATTGGGTTTGTCCGGCATTAAAGTTGGTAAAGAAGCAGAGCAAGCAGAAGAAGACGAATTTTTAGGATTAGACAAGGCTGGCGTCAAGATCAAAAAACCGCATCATCACGGGAAAACTGAAGAAGAAATCACTTCCGAAGTCTCAACCGTATCAACATCTGTCCACGGTGAACGGAAAAAATCAGCAGGTGCCACGACCACTGAGAAGAGTGAAGTATCAGCTGACGTGTCGGGTGAATCAATAATCCATAAGGAAAACGAAAAACACGTCTCCAATGAAGGCAAACCACACGGCTTCCACATCGGTTTGGGCCACGGTGGTTTGAACATTGGTGTAGGAGACAAGAAGATCGGATTGGGTTTGTCCGGCATTAAAGTTGGTAAAGAAGCAGAGCAAGCAGAAGAAGACGAATTTTTAGAATTAGACAAGGCTGGCGTCAAGATCAAAAAACCGCATCATCACGGGAAAACTGAAGAAGAAATCACTTCCGAAGTCTCAACCGTATCAACATCTGTCCACGGTGAACGGAAAAAATCAGCAGGTGCCACGACCACTGAGAAGAGTGAAGTATCAGCTGACGTGTCGGGTGAATCAATAATCCATAAGGAAAACGAAAAACACGTCTCCAATGAAGGCAAACCACACGGCTTCCACATCGGTTTGGGCCACGGTGGTTTGAACATTGGTGTAGGAGACAAGAAGATCGGATTGGGTTTGTCCGGCATTAAAGTTGGTAAAGAAACCGAGCAAGCAGAAGAAGACGAATTTTTAGGATTAGACAAGGCTGGCGTCAAGATCAAAAAACCGCATCATCACGGGAAAACTGAAGAAGAAATCACTTCCGAAGTCTCAACCGTATCAACATCTGTCCACGGTGAACGGAAAAAATCAGCAGGTGCCACGACCACTGAGAAGAGTGAAGTATCAGCTGACGTGTCGGGTGAATCAATAATCCATAAGGAAAACGAAAAACACGTCTCCAATGAAGGCAAACCACACGGCTTCCACATCGGTTTGGGCCACGGTGGTTTGAACATTGGTGTAGGAGACAAGAAGATCGGATTGGGTTTGTCCGGCATTAAAGTTGGTAAAGAAGCAGAGCAAGCAAAAGAAGACGAATTTATAGAAGTAGACAAGGCTGGCGTCAAGATCAAAAAACCGCATCATCACGGGAAAACTGAAGAAGAAATCACTTCCGAAGTCTCAACCGTATCAACATCTGTCCACGGTGAACGGAAAAAATCAGCAGTTGCCACGACCACTGAGAAGAGTGAAGTATCAGCTGACGTGTCGGGTGAATCAATAATCCATAAGGAAAACGAAAAACACGTCTCCAATGAAGGCAAACCACACGGCTTCCACATCGGTTTGGGCCACGGTGGTTTGAACATTGGTGTAGGAGACAAGAAGATCGGATTGGGTTTGTCCGGCATTAAAGTTGGTAAAGAAACCGAGCAAGAAAAAGAAGACGAATTTATAGAAGTAGACAAGGCTGGCGTCAAGATCAAAAAACCGCATCATCACGGGAAAACTGAAGAAGAAATCACTTCCGAAGTCTCAACCGTATCAACATCTGTCCACGGTGAACGGAAAAAATCAGCAGGTGCCACGACCACTGAGAAGAGTGAAGTATCAGCTGACGTGTCGGGTGAATCAATAATCCATAAGGAAAACGAAAAACACGTCTCCAATGAAGGCAAACCACACGGCTTCCACATCGGTTTGGGCCACGGTGGTTTGAACATTGGTGTAGGAGACAAGAAGATCGGATTGGGTTTGTCCGGCATTAAAGTTGGTAAAGAAACCGAGCAAGAAAAAGAAGACGAATTTATAGAAGTAGACAAGGCTGGCGTCAAGATCAAAAAACCGCATCATCACGGGAAAACTGAAGAAGAAATCACTTCCGAAGTCTCAACCGTATCAACATCTGTCCACGGTGAACGGAAAAAATCAGCAGGTGCCACGACCACTGAGAAGAGTGAAGTATCAGCTGACGTGTCGGGTGAATCAATAATCCATAAGGAAAACGAAAAACACGTCTCCAATGAAGGCAAACCACACGGCTTCCACATCGGTTTGGGCCACGGTGGTTTGAACATTGGTGTAGGAGACAAGAAGATCGGATTGGGTTTGTCCGGCATTAAAGTTGGTAAAGAAGCAGAGCAAGCAGAAGAAGACGAATTTATAGAAGTAGACAAGGCTGGCGTCAAGATCAAAAAACCGCATCATCACGGGAAAACTGAAGAAGAAATCACTTCCGAAGTCTCAACCGTATCAACATCTGTCCACGGTGAACGGAAAAAATCAGCAGGTGCCACGACCACTGAGAAGAGTGAAGTATCAGCTGACGTGTCGGGTGAATCAATAATCCATAAGGAAAACGAAAAACACGTCTCCAATGAAGGCAAACCACACGGCTTCCACATCGGTTTGGGCCACGGTGGTTTGAACATTGGTGTAGGAGACAAGAAGATCGGATTGGGTTTGTCCGGCATTAAAGTTGGTAAAGAAGCAGAGCAAGCAGAAGAAGACGAATTTATAGAAGTAGACAAGGCTGGCGTCAAGATCAAAAAACCGCATCATCACGGGAAAACTGAAGAAGAAATCACTTCCGAAGTCTCAACCGTATCAACATCTGTCCACGGTGAACGGAAAAAATCAGCAGGTGCCACGACCACTGAGAAGAGTGAAGTATCAGCTGACGTGTCGGGTGAATCAATAATCCATAAGGAAAACGAAAAACACGTCTCCAATGAAGGCAAACCACACGGCTTCCACATCGGTTTGGGCCACGGTGGTTTGAACATTGGTGTAGGAGACAAGAAGATCGGATTGGGTTTGTCCGGCATTAAAGTTGGTAAAGAAGCAGAGCAAGCAGAAGAAGACGAATTTTTAGAAGTAGACAAGGCTGGCGTCAAGATCAAAAAACCGCATCATCACGGGAAAACTGAAGAAGAAATCACTTCCGAAGTCTCAACCGTATCAACATCTGTCCACGGTGAACGGAAAAAATCAGCAGGTGCCACGACCACTGAGAAGAGTGAAGTATCAGCTGACGTGTCGGGTGAATCAATAATCCATAAGGAAAACGAAAAACACGTCTCCAATGAAGGCAAACCACACGGCTTCCACATCGGTTTGGGCCACGGTGGTTTGAACATTGGTGTAGGAGACAAGAAGATCGGATTGGGTTTGTCCGGCATTAAAGTTGGTAAAGAAGCAGAGCAAGAAAAAGAAGACGAATTTATAGAAGTAGACAAGGCTGGCGTCAAGATCAAAAAACCGCATCATCACGGGAAAACTGAAGAAGAAATCACTTCCGAAGTCTCAACCGTATCAACATCTGTCCACGGTGAACGGAAAAAATCAGCAGGTGCCACGACCACTGAGAAGAGTGAAGTATCAGCTGACGTGTCGGGTGAATCAATAATCCATAAGGAAAACGAAAAACACGTCTCCAATGAAGGCAAACCACACGGCTTCCACATCGGTTTGGGCCACGGTGGTTTGAACATTGGTGTAGGAGACAAGAAGATCGGATTGGGTTTGTCCGGCATTAAAGTTGGTAAAGAAGCAGAGCAAGCAGAAGAAGACGAATTTTTAGGATTAGACAAGGCTGGCGTCAAGATCAAAAAACCGCATCATCACGGGAAAACTGAAGAAGAAATCACTTCCGAAGTCTCAACCGTATCAACATCTGTCCACGGTGAACGGAAAAAATCAGCAGGTGCCACGACCACTGAGAAGAGTGAAGTATCAGCTGACGTGTCGGGTGAATCAATAATCCATAAGGAAAACGAAAAACACGTCTCCAATGAAGGCAAACCACACGGCTTCCACATCGGTTTGGGCCACGGTGGTTTGAACATTGGTGTAGGAGACAAGAAGATCGGATTGGGTTTGTCCGGCATTAAAGTTGGTAAAGAAGCAGAGCAAGCAGAAGAAGACGAATTTATAGAAGTAGACAAGGCTGGCGTCAAGATCAAAAAACCGCATCATCACGGGAAAACTGAAGAAGAAATCACTTCCGAAGTCTCAACCGTATCAACATCTGTCCACGGTGAACGGAAAAAATCAGCAGGTGCCACGACCACTGAGAAGAGTGAAGTATCAGCTGACGTGTCGGGTGAATCAATAATCCATAAGGAAAACGAAAAACACGTCTCCAATGAAGGCAAACCACACGGCTTCCACATCGGTTTGGGCCACGGTGGTTTGAACATTGGTGTAGGAGACAAGAAGATCGGATTGGGTTTGTCCGGCATTAAAGTTGGTAAAGAAGCAGAGCAAGCAGAAGAAGACGAATTTTTAGGATTAGACAAGGCTGGCGTCAAGATCAAAAAACCGCATCATCACGGGAAAACTGAAGAAGAAATCACTTCCGAAGTCTCAACCGTATCAACATCTGTCCACGGTGAACGGAAAAAATCAGCAGGTGCCACGACCACTGAGAAGAGTGAAGTATCAGCTGACGTGTCGGGTGAATCAATAATCCATAAGGAAAACGAAAAACACGTCTCCAATGAAGGCAAACCACACGGCTTCCACATCGGTTTGGGCCACGGTGGTTTGAACATTGGTGTAGGAGACAAGAAGATCGGATTGGGTTTGTCCGGCATTAAAGTTGGTAAAGAAGCAGAGCAAGCAGAAGAAGACGAATTTATAGAAGTAGACAAGGCTGGCGTCAAGATCAAAAAACCGCATCATCACGGGAAAACTGAAGAAGAAATCACTTCCGAAGTCTCAACCGTATCAACATCTGTCCACGGTGAACGGAAAAAATCAGCAGGTGCCACGACCACTGAGAAGAGTGAAGTATCAGCTGACGTGTCGGGTGAATCAATAATCCATAAGGAAAACGAAAAACACGTCTCCAATGAAGGCAAACCACACGGCTTCCACATCGGTTTGGGCCACGGTGGTTTGAACATTGGTGTAGGAGACAAGAAGATCGGATTGGGTTTGTCCGGCATTAAAGTTGGTAAAGAAGCAGAGCAAGCAGAAGAAGACGAATTTTTAGGATTAGACAAGGCTGGCGTCAAGATCAAAAAACCGCATCATCACGGGAAAACTGAAGAAGAAATCACTTCCGAAGTCTCAACCGTATCAACATCTGTCCACGGTGAACGGAAAAAATCAGCAGGTGCCACGACCACTGAGAAGAGTGAAGTATCAGCTGACGTGTCGGGTGAATCAATAATCCATAAGGAAAACGAAAAACACGTCTCCAATGAAGGCAAACCACACGGCTTCCACATCGGTTTGGGCCACGGTGGTTTGAACATTGGTGTAGGAGACAAGAAGATCGGATTGGGTTTGTCCGGCATTAAAGTTGGTAAAGAAACCGAGCAAGCAAAAGAAGACGAATTTTTAGAAGTAGACAAGGCTGGCGTCAAGATCAAAAAACCGCATCATCACGGGAAAACTGAAGAAGAAATCACTTCCGAAGTCTCAACCGTATCAACATCTGTCCACGGTGAACGGAAAAAATCAGCAGGTGCCACGACCACTGAGAAGAGTGAAGTATCAGCTGACGTGTCGGGTGAATCAATAATCCATAAGGAAAACGAAAAACACGTCTCCAATGAAGGCAAACCACACGGCTTCCACATCGGTTTGGGCCACGGTGGTTTGAACATTGGTGTAGGAGACAAGAAGATCGGATTGGGTTTGTCCGGCATTAAAGTTGGTAAAGAAGCAGAGCAAGCAGAAGAAGACGAATTTTTAGGATTAGACAAGGCTGGCGTCAAGATCAAAAAACCGCATCATCACGGGAAAACTGAAGAAGAAATCACTTCCGAAGTCTCAACCGTATCAACATCTGTCCACGGTGAACGGAAAAAATCAGCAGGTGCCACGACCACTGAGAAGAGTGAAGTATCAGCTGACGTGTCGGGTGAATCAATAATCCATAAGGAAAACGAAAAACACGTCTCCAATGAAGGCAAACCACACGGCTTCCACATCGGTTTGGGCCACGGTGGTTTGAACATTGGTGTAGGAGACAAGAAGATCGGATTGGGTTTGTCCGGCATTAAAGTTGGTAAAGAAACCGAGCAAGAAAAAGAAGACGAATTTATAGAAGTAGACAAGGCTGGCGTCAAGATCAAAAAACCGCATCATCACGGGAAAACTGAAGAAGAAATCACTTCCGAAGTCTCAACCGTATCAACATCTGTCCACGGTGAACGGAAAAAATCAGCAGGTGCCACGACCACTGAGAAGAGTGAAGTATCAGCTGACGTGTCGGGTGAATCAATAATCCATAAGGAAAACGAAAAACACGTCTCCAATGAAGGCAAACCACACGGCTTCCACATCGGTTTGGGCCACGGTGGTTTGAACATTGGTGTAGGAGACAAGAAGATCGGATTGGGTTTGTCCGGCATTAAAGTTGGTAAAGAAGCAGAGCAAGCAGAAGAAGACGAATTTTTAGGATTAGACAAGGCTGGCGTCAAGATCAAAAAACCGCATCATCACGGGAAAACTGAAGAAGAAATCACTTCCGAAGTCTCAACCGTATCAACATCTGTCCACGGTGAACGGAAAAAATCAGCAGGTGCCACGACCACTGAGAAGAGTGAAGTATCAGCTGACGTGTCGGGTGAATCAATAATCCATAAGGAAAACGAAAAACACGTCTCCAATGAAGGCAAACCACACGGCTTCCACATCGGTTTGGGCCACGGTGGTTTGAACATTGGTGTAGGAGACAAGAAGATCGGATTGGGTTTGTCCGGCATTAAAGTTGGTAAAGAAGCAGAGCAAGCAGAAGAAGACGAATTTTTAGGATTAGACAAGGCTGGCGTCAAGATCAAAAAACCGCATCATCACGGGAAAACTGAAGAAGAAATCACTTCCGAAGTCTCAACCGTATCAACATCTGTCCACGGTGAACGGAAAAAATCAGCAGGTGCCACGACCACTGAGAAGAGTGAAGTATCAGCTGACGTGTCGGGTGAATCAATAATCCATAAGGAAAACGAAAAACACGTCTCCAATGAAGGCAAACCACACGGCTTCCACATCGGTTTGGGCCACGGTGGTTTGAACATTGGTGTAGGAGACAAGAAGATCGGATTGGGTTTGTCCGGCATTAAAGTTGGTAAAGAAGCAGAGCAAGCAGAAGAAGACGAATTTTTAGGATTAGACAAGGCTGGCGTCAAGATCAAAAAACCGCATCATCACGGGAAAACTGAAGAAGAAATCACTTCCGAAGTCTCAACCGTATCAACATCTGTCCACGGTGAACGGAAAAAATCAGCAGGTGCCACGACCACTGAGAAGAGTGAAGTATCAGCTGACGTGTCGGGTGAATCAATAATCCATAAGGAAAACGAAAAACACGTCTCCAATGAAGGCAAACCACACGGCTTCCACATCGGTTTGGGCCACGGTGGTTTGAACATTGGTGTAGGAGACAAGAAGATCGGATTGGGTTTGTCCGGCATTAAAGTTGGTAAAGAAGCAGAGCAAGAAAAAGAAGACGAATTTATAGAAGTAGACAAGGCTGGCGTCAAGATCAAAAAACCGCATCATCACGGGAAAACTGAAGAAGAAATCACTTCCGAAGTCTCAACCGTATCAACATCTGTCCACGGTGAACGGAAAAAATCAGCAGGTGCCACGACCACTGAGAAGAGTGAAGTATCAGCTGACGTGTCGGGTGAATCAATAATCCATAAGGAAAACGAAAAACACGTCTCCAATGAAGGCAAACCACACGGCTTCCACATCGGTTTGGGCCACGGTGGTTTGAACATTGGTGTAGGAGACAAGAAGATCGGATTGGGTTTGTCCGGCATTAAAGTTGGTAAAGAAGCAGAGCAAGAAAAAGAAGACGAATTTATAGAAGTAGACAAGGCTGGCGTCAAGATCAAAAAACCGCATCATCACGGGAAAACTGAAGAAGAAATCACTTCCGAAGTCTCAACCGTATCAACATCTGTCCACGGTGAACGGAAAAAATCAGCAGGTGCCACGACCACTGAGAAGAGTGAAGTATCAGCTGACGTGTCGGGTGAATCAATAATCCATAAGGAAAACGAAAAACACGTCTCCAATGAAGGCAAACCACACGGCTTCCACATCGGTTTGGGCCACGGTGGTTTGAACATTGGTGTAGGAGACAAGAAGATCGGATTGGGTTTGTCCGGCATTAAAGTTGGTAAAGAAGCAGAGCAAGCAGAAGAAGACGAATTTTTAGGATTAGACAAGGCTGGCGTCAAGATCAAAAAACCGCATCATCACGGGAAAACTGAAGAAGAAATCACTTCCGAAGTCTCAACCGTATCAACATCTGTCCACGGTGAACGGAAAAAATCAGCAGGTGCCACGACCACTGAGAAGAGTGAAGTATCAGCTGACGTGTCGGGTGAATCAATAATCCATAAGGAAAACGAAAAACACGTCTCCAATGAAGGCAAACCACACGGCTTCCACATCGGTTTGGGCCACGGTGGTTTGAACATTGGTGTAGGAGACAAGAAGATCGGATTGGGTTTGTCCGGCATTAAAGTTGGTAAAGAAGCAGAGCAAGCAGAAGAAGACGAATTTTTAGGATTAGACAAGGCTGGCGTCAAGATCAAAAAACCGCATCATCACGGGAAAACTGAAGAAGAAATCACTTCCGAAGTCTCAACCGTATCAACATCTGTCCACGGTGAACGGAAAAAATCAGCAGGTGCCACGACCACTGAGAAGAGTGAAGTATCAGCTGACGTGTCGGGTGAATCAATAATCCATAAGGAAAACGAAAAACACGTCTCCAATGAAGGCAAACCACACGGCTTCCACATCGGTTTGGGCCACGGTGGTTTGAACATTGGTGTAGGAGACAAGAAGATCGGATTGGGTTTGTCCGGCATTAAAGTTGGTAAAGAAACCGAGCAAGAAAAAGAAGACGAATTTATAGAAGTAGACAAGGCTGGCGTCAAGATCAAAAAACCGCATCATCACGGGAAAACTGAAGAAGAAATCACTTCCGAAGTCTCAACCGTATCAACATCTGTCCACGGTGAACGGAAAAAATCAGCAGGTGCCACGACCACTGAGAAGAGTGAAGTATCAGCTGACGTGTCGGGTGAATCAATAATCCATAAGGAAAACGAAAAACACGTCTCCAATGAAGGCAAACCACACGGCTTCCACATCGGTTTGGGCCACGGTGGTTTGAACATTGGTGTAGGAGACAAGAAGATCGGATTGGGTTTGTCCGGCATTAAAGTTGGTAAAGAAGCAGAGCAAGCAGAAGAAGACGAATTTTTAGGATTAGACAAGGCTGGCGTCAAGATCAAAAAACCGCATCATCACGGGAAAACTGAAGAAGAAATCACTTCCGAAGTCTCAACCGTATCAACATCTGTCCACGGTGAACGGAAAAAATCAGCAGTTGCCACGACCACTGAGAAGAGTGAAGTATCAGCTGACGTGTCGGGTGAATCAACAATCCATAAGGAAAACGAAAAACACGTCTCCAATGAAGGCAAACCACACGGCTTCCACATCGGTTTGGGCCACGGTGGTTTGAACATTGGTGTAGGAGACAAGAAGATCGGATTGGGTTTGTCCGGCATTAAAGTTGGTAAAGAAGCAGAGCAAGCAGAAGAAGACGAATTTTTAGGATTAGACAAGGCTGGCGTCAAGATCAAAAAACCGCATCATCACGGGAAAACTGAAGAAGAAATCACTTCCGAAGTCTCAACCGTATCAACATCTGTCCACGGTGAACGGAAAAAATCAGCAGTTGCCACGACCACTGAGAAGAGTGAAGTATCAGCTGACGTGTCGGGTGAATCAATAATCCATAAGGAAAACGAAAAACACGTCTCCAATGAAGGCAAACCACACGGCTTCCACATCGGTTTGGGCCACGGTGGTTTGAACATTGGTGTAGGAGACAAGAAGATCGGATTGGGTTTGTCCGGCATTAAAGTTGGTAAAGAAACCGAGCAAGAAAAAGAAGACGAATTTATAGAAGTAGACAAGGCTGGCGTCAAGATCAAAAAACCGCATCATCACGGGAAAACTGAAGAAGAAATCACTTCCGAAGTCTCAACCGTATCAACATCTGTCCACGGTGAACGGAAAAAATCAGCAGTTGCCACGACCACTGAGAAGAGTGAAGTATCAGCTGACGTGTCGGGTGAATCAACAATCCATAAGGAAAACGAAAAACACGTCTCCAATGAAGGCAAACCACACGGCTTCCACATCGGTTTGGGCCACGGTGGTTTGAACATTGGTGTAGGAGACAAGAAGATCGGATTGGGTTTGTCCGGCATTAAAGTTGGTAAAGAAACCGAGCAAGAAAAAGAAGACGAATTTATAGAAGTAGACAAGGCTGGCGTCAAGATCAAAAAACCGCATCATCACGGGAAAACTGAAGAAGAAATCACTTCCGAAGTCTCAACCGTATCAACATCTGTCCACGGTGAACGGAAAAAATCAGCAGTTGCCACGACCACTGAGAAGAGTGAAGTATCAGCTGACGTGTCGGGTGAATCAACAATCCATAAGGAAAACGAAAAACACGTCTCCAATGAAGGCAAACCACACGGCTTCCACATCGGTTTGGGCCACGGTGGTTTGAACATTGGTGTAGGAGACAAGAAGATCGGATTGGGTTTGTCCGGCATTAAAGTTGGTAAAGAAGCAGAGCAAGCAGAAGAAGACGAATTTTTAGAAGTAGACAAGGCTGGCGTCAAGATCAAAAAACCGCATCATCACGGGAAAACTGAAGAAGAAATCACTTCCGAAGTCTCAACCGTATCAACATCTGTCCACGGTGAACGGAAAAAATCAGCAGGTGCCACGACCACTGAGAAGAGTGAAGTATCAGCTGACGTGTCGGGTGAATCAATAATCCATAAGGAAAACGAAAAACACGTCTCCAATGAAGGCAAACCACACGGCTTCCACATCGGTTTGGGCCACGGTGGTTTGAACATTGGTGTAGGAGACAAGAAGATCGGATTGGGTTTGTCCGGCATTAAAGTTGGTAAAGAAGCAGAGCAAGAAAAAGAAGACGAATTTATAGAAGTAGACAAGGCTGGCGTCAAGATCAAAAAACCGCATCATCACGGGAAAACTGAAGAAGAAATCACTTCCGAAGTCTCAACCGTATCAACATCTGTCCACGGTGAACGGAAAAAATCAGCAGGTGCCACGACCACTGAGAAGAGTGAAGTATCAGCTGACGTGTCGGGTGAATCAATAATCCATAAGGAAAACGAAAAACACGTCTCCAATGAAGGCAAACCACACGGCTTCCACATCGGTTTGGGCCACGGTGGTTTGAACATTGGTGTAGGAGACAAGAAGATCGGATTGGGTTTGTCCGGCATTAAAGTTGGTAAAGAAGCAGAGCAAGCAGAAGAAGACGAATTTTTAGGATTAGACAAGGCTGGCGTCAAGATCAAAAAACCGCATCATCACGGGAAAACTGAAGAAGAAATCACTTCCGAAGTCTCAACCGTATCAACATCTGTCCACGGTGAACGGAAAAAATCAGCAGGTGCCACGACCACTGAGAAGTGTGAAGTATCAACCGTATCAACATCTGTCTACGGTGAAATGAACACATCAGAGGGCGCTACGTTCACTCAGAAGAGGGAATACATTGATTATATGGGGTCAGATGACGAGGATGAAGATATTTTTTATGAGACAGATGATAACATTAAATATGTCGATGCAATATCGAACGATGTGGATTTAGAAGTCGGCAGTTATAAAATGTCAGGGGAGTCTGAAAGTTTAAAATCTAGTGAGAGTATATCTGAACAGAAAACTAAACGGAAAAAACTTAGCTTACCTAATTTGAAATTGTTTAAAAGGTCGAAATCGTATTTAAAGGAGACTACTAGCACCGATGATAGTTCTGCTCATGGATCAAAATCGGTATCTCCCGGTGAGCTGAAAAAATCATTCAGTTTCAAAAGCCTTGGAAAATTACGTTCTAAATCAACTATTGAATCGCCTCATTACCATTATTCTAAAGATCTTTTAGCTGGTTTCATTGACCATGAAAGAGCGGCTTCTCAAACGCCGGATGTAGTGCTTGACTCTTCCGGCGAAAGTGTCACATCTCATAATAAATTAGAAAAAAAAGATAAAAAGAAGAAAAAAAATAAAATGATAAACCTTTTTAATAATCATTTGCTTTAAACTAGCCATATGTTCTTTAAATAATTACGTTATTTATTCTGTTTTCGTTATTTACTAAATTATTTAAAAATTTTCGTTACATGTTTTTTATAATTTTTATCCTTCATTAAAATGATGATACACTATTTTTATAATTAATTATTTGCTTTAGCACTTTTTTTTAAATTTAATTGTACTGTTTTTTGGTGTTCCTTGTTTTGTTTAGTAGTTAATAACTTTTTAATGATATTTTACAATTTTAATTTTTAATTTATTGTATTGTTAATAAATACATATTCGTAATAAATGTTTTGCGTGTTTAGTTATCTGTTTTACATTTATTTTAATATGTTAGTTCTGTTGCAAACCAACGTGGTTGAATTAATATTGTTAAATATTGTAAGAGTAAATTTTTGTGTTAATTATAATTGTTTAGAGAAAGTAATCGTTTACTATGACGATATGACATTTAGAAATGTTATTAATTAGAATTATATCATTTGTTACTGTGATGCCAACGTGAAAATAATTATATGTTAAAATAATGGGTTAAGTGTTTCTATGCATATATTACATAGCACAGGTACTACTAAAATATATTTTATAAACATTTTGTCAAAAGGATTTATTTAAATGAAGAACTAAATTAAAATATTGATATTTGTTATGTTTTTTGGTTGGCCTTCATCCATTTCATCATCCCTATAGACTATCACATATTACATAAATAAATAATTAAAAGCAGGCTATGCGCGTGCCGGCCACGTGTTAACTTGAACATGTCAGCAACATAATATATTTTCTCTTTCATTTTATTTGGAGGGTCATATATTTTTTGCTTATCACCAACTTAAATTCATTATTTTATTGATTCCATTTGACAAAAATTTTATCGAAAACAGCTACTGTGGGTTTATGTGGCAGCATGTGTGCAATACTAGAAAATCCTGGGATAACGAAACGAGTAACGACACATGAGTTAAACGTATTGTCATTATTATAAAGAAATATATTCATACATTTGATATAAAATAATTGAATGTCTTAATACATTTTTATTAATTTTATAATAGTATTGTTTAGACAACAATAGAATATATATGTAAAAAAATTGAATTTGTATTATAATTTCAGTAAAAACATTTATACAGATTTTATGAAGTAGCTAAAATGTGAAAACTATTAATTTGATATTAATAAAATATTTTTCGTATTATATAGTAATATCATATTGTAACTAATTAGGTCATAATTTTTTTTTACTATGATTTTTCGGTTCGTGTACAGAAAATACTTTTCAAATAAAAAAAATAAACACCAAAAGTAAATTTTTGTTTTTGAATTGTGCATAATACTTTAGTATTAATAATAATTTAATTAAAATAAAACTATGTCCAAGCAAGATGGCCCTAAATAGAATATTTTCAGGTATAAATCCATTAATTAAAATTATGTCGTATCACAAGATAAGACTGTTTGTTATACCTAGCACTTTTTCGTGATTATGAGCTTTTTTTTTAACTGAAAACTTTTTACAATCTTCATTGAAAAATGTCTAAAGCAGCTATAAAACATTAGATTTAATCGATTTTTAATTATATAATTAATATATTTTTTTTGTGATTAAATACAATATTACTATGTAGGATTTTGATCAGTTACCTAACTTTGTCTTAAGGTAGCAAATATTATTGAATTTTAAAATAAATTGAGTTGCTTATGAATGAAGGAAAAAAATACTAAATGTGACCATAGGTTGGAGACCCCATCTTCTCCTAAAAATATTTCTCCCAATTGATTTTCTATTAGTTTCCTCAGCTTTGAATTTAACTATATGTAATCATGTACTACTATTATACTTGAAGCTCAAATGATGAGTTATTAAAGTGACTTTATCCGAGTAAGCCAGATCAAAGTATAGTGGGGACGGAGAGGTCTCAGGTCTACAGGAATTATTATTAATAAAAGTGATAAAACTACTTTCAAATAAACGCTTTAATGCTTTCAAACACTGCACCTCACTTTAATAATTTTTTACTGTGCTGGTCCATACTATGCTTGGTTTGGACTTTACTGGTTTGAAAATACTAACTACTGATTCGAATCGAAGCCAAAAATTAAATTAAATTAAAAGCTAAAACTGGTACTTAAGTTCTAAAAACTTAATAAGATCACTCTAAAGAAATGTCCACAAAAAGGTTGTCATGATTTGATAATATTTTTTTAAGATTTGACGTGTTTATGTAGAAATATTCAAAATCTGCAAAAAACACAGTTTTCCCGGCGATTAAAAAAAAATCGTAGAACAGATTTTAATATGTTATGTATACCTAAGCGTTTTAACTCCAGACAAATTTCCAACTAAAAGGTCCTAAAATTACGGCTAAAACACACAAAAACAAAAGAACCTTAGGGTGATGGGAAATAGGTATAATTTAAATTAGATACAACTGACGTGTGCGGGCATACCAAATAAATATTCCTAATAAATTTCAACTCGATTCGATAATTTTTCTCAAAGTAATAGCCAGTAAAAGTTGAAAATTTAAAACTCAAAACTAAAATGTTTTTTTTTTGTTTTTTCTAATTTTAACTGTGAAGTAGTGATCTTTTTTAACTTTTAACTTTTACAAAATACTAACTAAATGAAATTTGTAATTTATAGACTTGCCACTCGATAGAATTGGCCCAGTATTAAAAAAGTTACAGTGTGTACAGATTACAGACACAAAACAAAGCCCACATTATTGAAAAACCTTTAGCATCGCTGCTCCGGCATTGAAACTTTTGGTAAAATGAAAAAAAAAACTTTTGTTGTTTTCAAAAAAGTATAAAAATAAAAATGGAAAATTTCAATCAAAGTCTTGATTATTAATATTTAAGACCATACTATATAGGCCTTAGGCCTATTTTACAAAAATTAATAATATTGTATTTATTTAATATACTTAAAGTTGTTTAGTTTATAGCTACTCGTATAAGAAATGGAAACGAAATATTCGTACAAAACAAGTTTTATGAACTTTTTAAACAACAAATACCTATACCTTAATATCAGAAAATATATTGTGTATAATATATCAAATAATTACCTTATATTTTGTATAACATTATTAATTATTATTATTATAAATAGTTATCATAACACTAGAAATATTGATATGAAAATAACAGCGGACTGTCATATTAACAGTATAATATTCTCATTATATTATTAATTATGCTACATGCGTGACAACGGCCTATACAGTTGTAGACTGTCCGTCTATAATAGTATATTGTTGCCGTTGTCGCACATGTATCATAATTAAGAATAATCAACCCTAGGCGTATTCACCCTAATACTAAAACACAATTTTAAGCATATTTTTGCTGAATTGTCCATACTATGGAGTATGGACCGTTGAAACTATAATTTTAATTTCCAAAAAAGAACGTGATCGAAATCGGGTGCATGTTTGATTTTAAATGGAACCCACTAATCCGATTATCGCATACATAGGACACCCATGCAAACTAGACATACTCAACATTTTTTTGTTTACCCGAAAAATCTTAAGATCTTTAATGTATGGTAAAAAAATAAAATATCAATAGATAAAACAAAATAGCCTCTAGTCACCTGTAAATATTATCCGATCAAGTTCAAACGTTGACATTTTTTGTGTTTAACCCCGATATAACGATTTATGTTTTTAGATCGGTTAATGCATCAATGGCATCAACAAGTTTATCCGGGTTGATTCGACAGAATAATTTTTTGTTTGTCGGAAGTACGTCGAGAAATGACCGTGAGAACTTAACTGCCGGAACGGGTTGTGTGTACGTGTGTGTGGGCGGAGAAAAACCGCGGATAAGACCGTGTAAGATCTTTCCATTGTGTCAGCCCCTCGTTGCGCACAATTTTCACCGTAGTGTTTTCATCGTGACGGACACGGCCAATTTGGACACGGTAATAACAGGGAAGCGTGGCAGCAGTGAACTGTGCCGGGAGTGGAGACAAAAATATATAATTACACACACTATATTATATCAAATAATAAACTACAATAACAACAAATCCCTCAAGGGTAAATAAAGATTTGGCCGCGAGAACAACACACGAGGGCTTCCCCCTTTTTTTATTTTTTAGCGGCGTGCTCGTAGTCAAACGTCCACACACACCCCTTTTGCCCGCGGCCAAGCCAATTGTTTGTAATTATTACCGAGTTTTTATTTTTTTATTTTGATTTTCAATCACACGCTTTATCGACAGTGGACGATTTTCGATTTGGACGTCCAAATAGTAATATAATACAACTTTGTTAAGTAAATCCGACAACGTAATATTTTGTACAAAACGAAAACGCTCAACGCATTATAAAATCTTACAAACTAATATACATCAAAATCAGTATAAGATACGTTTATTTTCGATTAACTACTAGCGCTTCAACTATTCTGGATTCAAGACAACAATCAATCGTAATGTGTTATTATTTTAAATTGCATTTATAATCACAATTTATGTAAAGTTGAAAACGTTGTCCGCTTGGAATTGAAGTTGAAGTTTGTAACTTCAAGAAATTCACAAGAACGGTAACCAATTTTATGTTGGATTCCCGCCGTCAACAGAGGTACCTTGGTCGCAGTTGACGGCCTGACGGTCATGGTATACTATGATAAAATCGATGGCCGTTCTTGTGTGTATAACACCGCTTATCTATGTATATTTTAAAATCAACTGTGTGACTATTATATAATATCATGTTATGACGCGGAGACTTAATTTCACAATCGTACCGGGCGAGTTAATAGAGATTAGAGATCGGCCGGACTGGGGTTGGGGCTGTAAACGAGATACGGATCTTGTGTCTAAACGAGCCGGGTTGAGTATATTTTAAATACCGCAAATTCGGGTCACACGATTCGCGGGTCGTATGCTGCGTGCACCGCCGACTTACACGATGTCAATCATACGAACGGAATCCGCTTCCGGCGGAACCGGAACAAAACAAAAAACAATTTTGAAAAGAAACGATTTTCATATTTATTTATTAGCCTATTACCGACGACCAACACTGCACAATTGTTGTGCGTACCGCGAACCCTCCCTCACCCCCCCCCCCCCCCAAAAAAAACCAGGCTGCCATGAGCCATCCACAGGGTAGACGGCGACGGTGTGCTACGCAGCCGCGGGAACGTGCGCACAGGCCGGAGGGGACGCGGCACGTGCACCGTGTTGTGCTCGCCGGACCGGACAATTTGTTAATCCACGGTCGGCGCTAACAGGGTGCACTCTTGTGACGTACACAAGCTCGAAAAAACACTCGTCATACACACGCAGAACAAGCCGGCAAATTTGCATATCGCCGACACCTCCAGTGCGGTTCGGCCGGAGATTTGAATTAAT